TCTGGATACGGAACTTCTTGTGATTTCTCTGAAATAAGGTCTTCTGGCCTTCGAAGCTCTTGATACACGTAACATATTTACTTGTATTTGACAATAAATCAACAGATGATGATCGATTAATTCTTTTAAAAAATCTTTGCGTCTGCTTCGTTCAATTTACAGATTCAAAAGGAATATTCTAGAAGACATGCGCATACAAGAAATATCAAGATTTTTTTTAAGCACCGAGCCCGATGATTTATGACGTTCAATGTTAAGAAACTAAGAGTTATCTATCTTTGCATGTAAAACATTAAGCTGCACGAAATAACCAGGTTTATCCATATTGGATAAACCCCATTATTGTCAACCACTTCTTGAACAACCATAACAAGATTTCTATCTTTCTGAAAATAAGTTTTCTTTTTAAATATTTTTCATGGTTGTATACCCTTTACTATAAGTAATGTCATCAATCCAGTCCAAACATTAAATTCCATTATGTTCCTTAATGGGCCGTACATATTACCAGTATCATGAAATGTTATTTTTTTGGCCTTTACAGTAATTGACTTTTACATATTAGACACCAAAAATTTCATAAAAACTGATGTCAGATTATTGAAAATTTCACAGATACTCGTAATGCTGAAAATAAGCTTACTTCAACTAGAAACTAGTAACTATAAGCCCTGTCAGGACCAAACTGGCATGGATGATGCATCAAGGTATGGACACTATCAGACTTGCTTTGGATGCTGGGTCTGACCTATATTTTCAAGATGAGTGACCAGGTTAAAGTTTTTTAAGCAAGTCCATTTGCAAGCAATTAAGTCTTGTCAAAAGAAATACACTTGTGAAATTATGAATGTCATATATAGCCCCATCCATTCAAAAGTTATACACCCAAATTTTACGGCGGGGGTGAGCTTCTCTTTTTTGGTATCAATCACATTTTACATGTATTGGGAATTGATGGTTAAAAAGAATAGTGAAAATTTTTAATAAAATACAGTGCATCATTTTCATACATGTTGCTTCAAGTCTACAATTTATGTTTGGGTTGCCTCATTAAATTACATCTAAGTGTGAGATATATATACTATAATGTGAGGATTTGTTAGGGAGTGTGAATGAGATTATCCATAAAGAATGTGTAAGTGAGAATAGAGTACTCATGTACTAATTAGTGATAATTTGGGTGAGTTTTTGTTTATTCTGATTTGATGAGGGGTTGGAAAGGTTTCAGCCCCCCCCCCCCCCCACCCCAACTGCTACTTCAGGAGAGGATCCAGGTGTACAGCTGATTCTAATGGATCACAGCTGACATTTGGTTAAATCAATCCTCCAGTTTCCCGGTAAACATCTGCTGACTCTATCTTAGATATTTATTTTCAATGCACTGAAGCATGACCGTTTTTGCTCCATTAATTGCTGAGAGCACTCCACAGAGAAGACAGCTAATGACATTACAGCAGGATCAATAATGACAAACGCAGTAGCTCCCACAATCCATACAGTCAACTCTCCCTAGCATGTGCATCTTACTGCATGAGGGACCTCCCCCTGTCGCTGTGGAATGGTACGGCCCACTTAAATATCTGTGGGACTGTTAGAAAGCACATGTCAGTAATTATAGAAAATTGAAGAAATACAGACTGTGGTGTATTGGTGCACAGCTCTTTGTTGTCACTGGGTCATCTGGGGTCATATGGTGTATTATCCAGGGATTGTCACTTATATATATGTACAGGTAAGTCAAGGGACTCTTATGGGGAGGGACCAGAGGCTGTGGGGGGCCCTTTGTTCCTGTCATTGATTTCTGAATTCTGTAACTGGTGTCTCCTCTTCTTATTCTCACATTCCAGGATCAGATCAATGTCATTTAAAACTGGTCAGTAATGCACAGTGTGTTTATCATGTGTATAAAGCTAATATCAGCAGGCCTAAAAAAAAGCATATAACCTGCAACTTATTGGTGAGTTTCTTGATGATAAAAGAGTTTTAAAGCATCAGACTTTATATGTGACATTGTAAGATGAGAGGCTTGGCTTTGTTACATTTTGCCAGGATTTACAGATTTTCCGGAGGAGATGTGTATTGATTTCCATTATCATGACATGAAAGCTGCTGCATGAAATTCTTTCAGACATGTTTCTTGTATCAATCCATCAAATCTGGCATTGAGGGCATAGGGTAACACAGACAAACATGTACATCTGTAATGGAAACTGCAATATTTTTTTTTCTTTTTAATTTATTACAAATAAAATAGAGAATATTTTTTTTTTGTCTTTTTAATTTCTTGACTGAATGGAGAATGTTAAATTAAATTTAAATGTTCATTGTTTAAAGTCTAGAAGGCTCTGTAGTAATGGGACAGGTGTATTGTATCAGTTGTTAATTCATTCTGGTGATTTTAACAACATCCAGACTTCTAATTATGCTGACAAGGCTGGGGCTTCCATAGGAATGTCTTTGATCATAAAAAGATAAGTCTGAAGCATGTTTGTATGTTAGGCACAATACAGCAGCTCTTATGAAAAATGAAGAAATCTGGAGTAACAATAATTTGTAGGATAATTATCTTGCTTAGAAAATACCTTATACATTATAAAAAAAGTTTCAACATTAAAAAGTTTCAATATTTACTAATTCAACAAAAAATAAATTGATAAAAAATGAAAATGTAAAATATAAGAAGAGAGTCATTTATTAAGTACATGTATTAATAATTCAATAACTGCCTGTGAAACGAGAAAAACGTCAGGAAGTAGGTTACACTGACTTTATTTTTACTTACGGTATGAAGAAAACAAAGTACACAAGTGTTGTTTGTGTCTCAAATAAGAGAAGAAAACTCTCCTTAGAATGTGTTTTCTTTGTGGGAAGGAAACACTCTAAATGTTTTAACACAGGATAAAAATGTGTCGGGGATTTCCGTAGTTTGTCAAGTTGTTCTCGGCTTCTCTGCAAAAGTGTAAGATTAAAATCTGCTTTAAAATAAAAAACAAATTTCAGAATATCAATAAATTTTAGAATCTGCCAGTTGTTTTTTATCACCAGATTGTTGCATTAGGATGAATCTAGTTCAGCTGGGCTTTCAGAAGGGTTCGGGTAGACCCATCATCTGTCCAGGTATTTTACTGTTAATTTTGGAAAATATGTATCATCTATAAATTCCAAACTACATACAGTAATTACACAAGGTGATGTACTTGTACATGTAATGTGTAGAAGTATGGGCTTTAAGGACCATGGATATCGCCCTGGATAGCTCGGTGGTTAGAGCACCTGACTGCAGGGGTCCCGGATACGATTCCCGGTCCAGCCATATGTTTTCTTCGTGCATTTCTCCTTTCCTACTACATTTGGTGGCCAGTGTGGGGGTCTTGTTCAGGTTACAGTGTATGTGTAAATTAGTGTGGATATTGGCCTGGATAGCTCAGTGATTAGATCATGTAATGCAAGGGTCCCAGGTTTGATTCATGGTCCAGCCATATGTTTTCTTCATGCATTTCTCCTTTCCTACTACAAATGCAATATTTATGAAAGACTTGGTCATCTTTGATGGCTGTTAGCTGCTTTTGATGTGAGCAATAAATCTAAGGGAAGATGATGAAGTCATGTTCCTTATAGATGTACTGTTGACAAACAAAATACTCACCTGTTATATAACTGAAATTCAAAACACAGTATTAAAAACAGTATTAAAATGTTTATGTTATTTTCAAAAATGTGAAATACTATATTCAGAATTTAAAAAGCAGTTTTCCTGGCTGTAATTATATTAAAGCTCATTATATGGAGGATTCAAACAAAAGACAAATGATCAAATTTTATAATTTTATCAAATTTTTATGATAATTGTATATCTTTTATAGTTCTGTAATATATATTTGTATGATATTACATATATAACTTTCTGTTATTTCCTTTCCATTGTCAATGTGTCAACAAAATACTGTAGCATCTAAGTATATAACATTACTGTGTGACTGTGTATACAATTTTTTGTTTAGTTTATTTCTCTCACTGCGTAATAGTGGTAAAAGTAGCTCATAAAAGTAAATTGTTTAAAACAGTGGCCTGATTCAGAGTGCTGTGTTGTGTTTTAATCAGCTACTGAGACAGCTGAGATACAATTGTGTGTGAACATTTAGATAAATGTGACTGAAACTGAGATGATGTGATTATTGATAATTTACAACTAGATATTAGAATAAACGTAAAGCTCAGGTAGAGTATGATGATGGACAACATTGAACCTCTAATTTTTTTTTAACCTGGAATCTTGATTACAGGAATATTATAAGGCCATGCAAGCTTAAAAAATTCTTTGTTTGCTGTTGCCAACCTATATTTTTTAGAGTGGGTCTGTACGTACAATGTAGGTATGATTTTTTTTTTCCTTTAGATTTTATTTATCAATTTTTAATTTTGTTAGAGTACAAATCAAAAAAAAAATTTATAGGGTTACTTAATGTAAATAAAGCTGTAATTCTTTTATGCAACTAAATTATTGACAGAAACAAAAGTCAAAAAATAGAAAATTATATTGTTTAAAAAGTGTCAATATCATATTTATTTGAAACTTCCAAAAAAAAATTCTTTTCAAATAATGGCTACAAGTCGGGTGCATTTTTAGTGGGTCGTTAGGCAACTGCAAACAAATCATTTTTAATTTTTTAATAACTTTCAATCCTTTTACATGTTGAGGATTATGTTAATGTGTTTAGTCTTTATAATGGTTATCATAGTTTTTCGATATCAAATTCAGTGTATTACATTGAGGCACTGACAGATTTAGAGGGGGAGCATGGCCCCCCTTTTGTGTCCAAAATAAACATAAGATTTAATAAATCAATTTTTTGGTGTGGCTGTGGACCCTAACCCTGATGTAAAATTGGTCAGCCCTTCCCTCTTTTCAAGATTCTTGGATCCGTCACTGGATGGTAACAATGATTATAGTGATGACGTTTAATTTTAGATGATAATGATGATATTTATTTTTGTTTCAGAAGATGACAGCAGTGATGAGGACTCATCTTACGCTGATGTCGCCAATGTAATGTCAGATATGAGTGTTCAGCAGAGACGTGGGTTACCTGCCCCTCCCTGCGGGGCGTTTATCTCCCCTGACGCCCCACCCCTCAGTCCCAGGGAGATGTACTCCCAGTCAGGAACCCCACCCCTCAGTCCCAGGGAAATGTATGCCCATTCAGGAATTTATGATGTCATTCCAGGGGAAAAGGTAAAACAACATAGAACACCCTGAAATAAGTAGATTATTGTTATTTTTTTCTGCCAAGTAGTACAGAATTTACATACTCAAAACAGTAAGAGATCTTATCTCTCTTCATGATTTAAAAAGAAGATTGCATGAAAAAGATTTTTTTAATTTATTTTAACAAAGTGTGTACTTAAGTATCTCGAAGGGAAAATGTGTATTTTTCCTCATTCTCTGCTGAAAAGAATTTGAATTTTAGGTCACCTGAGTTACTCAGTTGACTTATGGCTTTCTGATTTGTGTTGTGAATTGTGCATTTTCACTTCAAGCTTTTTATATTAAACCACTCAACCAATTTCAATCAGTTTTGGCATATAGCATCTATGGGTGAAGAGGAACAAAAATTAGGAATTTCCTTGTCCCTGCCCACCCACTGAACCCTAGGGTCTAAGGAGTGGGGCAAAAACCACTAGCAGACCTGCTGAGTGTATAGTTATGAATGGTGCTTCTTTTTAAATTCTGAATGTTATGACCTAGCTGGTTTAAAACACGAACCAAATTCAATAGTTGGAAAGTTATTATATGATACTCAGGTGACCTATAAGGCTCTTGGTCCTCTTGTAAATTGTCATAGCTACTGTAATTAGGAATTGAATATATTATAATAATGATTTCTCATTTTGATCTTTGGGAATTTCAGTCCACAAAAAGACCTGCCCCACCAAGAAGAAGTGCCAGTACACGTCTGAGCTCAGGAAGGGATCGGGTAAGATAATCCTGATATTACAAGACTGTATAAGCAGTTGATGGAATTGAAGAAGAAAATTTTGCTATGGAAATACTAAATAAGCTCAGGATGGGATCAAGTAACTGAAGGTATTTTTGCTGTTACAATACTAAATAAGATTGGGATGGGATTGAGTAAGAAAATTTTGCTATAACAGTACTAAATAAGCTCGGGATGGGATCCGGTAAGATAATTTTGATGTTACAAAATAAAACTAAGGTCTGGTAGGGGTTGATAAAGTTACTTTTAGTCTGTTACAAGACTAATCTCATAGATGTTATAGGGATTGGCGGAGTTACTTTTGTCTTGACAAGACAGAGGTTTGGTAGCTAGGGAACAGTTGAGTTACTTTTGTTCTTTACAACACTCAGCTTTAATATATGAAAGGATGGAGACAGCATGTAAAATTGTAGCAAAGGATGAGCTTTGCTTAAAAGAAGGCATCCTTTTTTATATATTCTTAAAAGAGGGTTTGATTTATCCTCATGATGATAGTGTGAGTCAACTCAACCTCATAACTTGAATACTATTAGGTCTAGGATTATCAAACTTTGTTAGCTCACCTCAACGGTGTGTCGCGCACAAAAAGTAGGTCGCTATGACCTTTAATAAAGATGCTATGGCCAAATATGGAAAAATCCCAAATCATAAGGTTAAGTTTTTTGGAGCAGTTTTCTTGGCAAAATTACTTCTGTGTAGAAGGTGTGTAGACATGCATGGAAGTCACTGTGTTTTATGTGTGTTTTTTAAAAAAACAAAGTCTTTTAAATTCTTAATTGCAATTTCAAAAAAGGAAATATAGTTGTTAAAAAATGTTTTTGGAAAAGGTTATTTTTTCATTTTTTGTGCAAATGTTTTTGGTGTGGGTTTCATTTCCAAGTAACTATAAGCCCTATGAGAATTTGATACAGAAATTTGCATGTCAAATTAGAGAGAAATTAATGGGTTTATTGTCGGGTGCTGAAGCAACCTATATTTTGATGGAGCTGTAATCTAAATTAAATCTCTTGGGAGTTGGGCAAAAAGAAATAACTATAAGCCCTATGTTGACCAAACTTGCATGGTGTAATGTAATTAAAAACAAATTGGTGTTTTAGTGATATGATCTAAAACTAAATTTTATTGTATAACAGATTAAAAGTTTTTATATGTGTTCATTTGAAAAAAAAATTATATTTCAATTTTTATATATTTGCATGGATGATACTATAGCCAAATATGAAAAATCCTGGCTTGCTTCATAACTAGAAAACTCTGACCTACATTTTCCAGTTGAGTGAACAGGTTAAAGTTTTTGGTGTAGGTGTGTCATTTCCAAGTTCTATAAGCACTATGTTGACCAAACTTATGGATGAATTTAAAAAAAACTACAAAGTTTTTTAAATTTTTAATCTGACCTAAATTTTAGTTGTATCGAACAGGTTAAAAAATGTTTTTGGTAAAAGGTTTTTTTGCATTATATACTTTAAGCAATATGTTGACCAAACTTGCATGGATGATACATCTAAGGATGCACACTACCAGGCTTGCTTCAAGAAGAATTTTGAATCTGACCTACATTTTCAAATTAGAGAGAAATTAAAAGTTTTTGGTGCAGGTTTCATTTCCAAGGAACTATGAGTTCTTTAATGACCAGTCTTGCATGGATGATAAAAGAAATGGATGCATACTTGCTTGTGTTAATTAAGAGTGCTGAATCTGACCTATCTTTTTGTGGATGTAATTAAAAATGTTGATGTTTTAGTGTATGATTAAAAATAAATTAGTATTGTATAATGAGCAAACTTATTATACATGTAAGGATGCAAAAAAATGGATGTTTCAATTTTTATATATTTGACATACATTTTTCAGATAATAGACAAGGTAAAAGTTATGTTTGATTTTTATCAAAAACTATAAGGCTTATATAACATTGTATAAACCAAACTTGCACAAATGCTGCATCAAGAGATGAAAACTCTAACACAAATTTGCTTCAGATGCTGGATTTTCATTACATTTTCATGAAGAAGAAGTAGTTTAAATTTTTTATGTAGGTCTATTTCAAAGTATCAGATCAAAATTGCTTTAAAATATTTTCATTTTTGGAATGTTACTTTATATATTGGTTAATTGTGTGACTTTGCCTTATGATAAAGACAACAATCGTTGAGGTGAGCTCTGTAATCTCTGATTACCTATTTTTATAAATACATGTATTTTCAGTCAGTTAAAAAACATGTTACTCCAGTTATAAAAGCATTTTAAGTTGTATATTTTTTATTTACTTTAAATATAAAACTGATAGGTTTACAGGCTCCCCTCATTCGATTAACCTTGCTGAATTTTTTTTAACTGGTTGAGTAATAATTGCACTGAACTCATATGAGATTTGTTTGGTAATATCTAAAATGATCATGTCTCCTCATTAAGTTAACAAAAAATTGAGTTTATATTTAAAAACTAATTTTAAATTTTACCAAGTGAAAATTTCCTTAAAATTTGATAATTTTTATTCGAATTGTTCAAAGTTTTAAATTGCTATATTTTAGATATTCCTTAAAGGAATTCCCAAATCTTTTACCGTATACACAATACAAACCTTAATGTACTTGATGTACTTCATCTTGATCTTGCTTGACATTTATCATTGTAAAGATAAACTTATCAAAAGAAGTGGCTTAAATCTTTTTTAGAAGTTCACAAGTTAATCAAATTGTTATCTATTTTTTATGAGGGATATTTCTCAAGATGAAAATTGATGCTTTTGATAAATTGGTATGAGTTTTTCACCCCCCAAAAGAATACTGCACTTTATTCGTAGCTGAAAAAAAAATTAACATTTAATATAAGTATAGTTTGAAACTTAAACAAAAAAAAAATGCGAATTATGTAAACAAGTTTTTGTATTCAAACAAATTTATTTCCAGATTTCAACTTCTAGCGATGATCCCGTTTTCTTGGACGACCATAGACAAAGCAGTCGCCATTCACATCACCAGACATCGGGCTTATCAACATCCCCCCAACAATTACGTCATCCCCAGGGTAGAAGAGACTCATCACCAGGGAAGCCTCTCCCCTCCCCAAACCAGTCACGACCCTTCTCCTATGTGTCAGCCCTACCCACCTCTCCACAGCATGCAAATTTAACCTCGCCAGGATCACCAACATACGAACCAATCCAACAAGCTTATCCACACAACGGACATCATTCTAATGGTTACCATGGACACCCTATGTCTTCCAATCAGGATGTCAGGCCAGTTCAGCCTTCCCATAGTGCTCAGTACCAGAGGACCTCAACAGGGGGTTCCCCCAGCTCACCACGGAGGCAGTCCATTCCTGTAACACCAATTACCCCACCCCACCACACAAGAAAGGGGCACTATCCACTGAGTGTAAACCCTGTACCTCACTCCCAATATAATATGTTTCATGGCCAAGCACCAGTAGGACCTTCTACTAAAAAACACAGAGTCCCAAGCTTTCCTGCCCCTCCCCAACCTCATTTTGACAGTATTAGATCCCATGGAGGTATGCGGTCCCCCTCTCCTCCCTTACCCCCACCACCCTTGGAAATGGGCAGAAACCAGAGAGTTCCCAGTCAGCATTTTGAATCGAGACAGATTCCAGCACAAGAACCCCCCACACCACCCCCTATCTCTAAAATCCCAGGGACCAGGTCCTCTGTGTCCACATTTGAGCTGGGTATGAGAAGAAGGGAGGGGTCTGTGGACACCAGTCCCTTACAGTCCCCCACCCATCTCACCGGTCAGTCTGGTCTGGCCGCCCAACTCAACAAAGTCCAGCTTAAAGCAGCAACCAATGAACAACAGGAAAAGAAAACTTCCAAACAGGTTGCCATGGGGATAGCTGCGGAGCTAGGGAAAGTACATCTGCGGTCCAATCCTAAAGAGGTAGCTAAAACTAGGTCACCAGAAGAGAGTCGAGAAACATCACCAGAAGTGCTGCTCTTAAAACTTAACCCAGTCAAGAAAACAGGTATTTGACAAAAGATTTATAAATTAAAAAAAAAAATGTTGAATTAATTCTTTGAAAGTGCAAGATGAAAATTTGTTCACTCAATGAATTTATGATGTCATTGAATTGTTTTATTTTCAGAAAGAATCAAGAGTACCCCAGAGAAAGAAACTGAAGCAGGGGTGAATTTTAAGGCAGTGTTAAAATCAACAGGGGGACCAAAACCATGGGAGAAAGGTAGTCTCAAATTTAGAGACAACACATTGAATGACAATAAATATGAATTCATGATTGTTAAAATTTATTAACAAATTTTAACCTGTGAATTTTATCGCTGCTCCTTTTAACCCCCTAGATACCTCACCTCCTGCAAATTCCGAGACCTTGGATGTTGACGTGAATGTGATGACGTCATCGCTGGATGAGGTACCTCTCCCTCCTCCCCCTCTAGAAGACGATCCTTTTAATGAACTCCCCCTCCCTCCCCCACCCCTGGAGGAGGATGACCAGCTCCCTCCCCCTGTCAGTGAAGCCCCAGTACCAGGAGTACAGGAGAATCTCAAGAAAAGAAAGATTTTTGAAAAAGAGAAGAAAGGTTGGTATGTTGTGACTCAATGTTGATAAGGGAAATAACTGTACTGTAGAAAACAGAAGAGGGGTTGACTGATTTTGTCAGGGGGAATTATGAACCTGCAAGAGAACAAAAAAACGCATGTATGAATGTATATTGATTTTGTCAAGGAAAATAATTCTACAAGAAAGTTATAAAGGGTAGATATTAGGTGTAACAAGAAAAAGAGCTCTGCAACAGACTTTAATCAAAGAATAATTTTAGCTATCCTTCATATTTAATATTCATTTATTTTTACAGTTTTCTTTTTAATCTTGAAAATTACTTTCCATGAGTTGATGTTTTAAAGATACATGCCTGCGGCAGTGAATTCAGATTTTGTTTCATTGTTGGGGTAATTTGCAAATAATCAAAATAGTCTTATTCTCCTGTGGAGTGTTACATACCTACATGCTTCTTTATGTTTTTGGATGCATAGTTTCAATAATTTTTCTTTTTCTAAAAAAAAAAAATGTTTAACTGGCAATTGTAATTTATAAGCTAAATATCTTGCACAGCATCTGCCCCTATGGCTTCATTCATGAGTCATTGAAACTTCTGTTAATTATTTTAAGTGTTATTTTAAGACCTGAGTTAATTCAGTACTCTTGTATACTGACTGCCATGTGTCGGAAAATCAGTTTGATGGATGGGAATTCTAAAATTCTCCAACTTCAAAATGTCTTGATCATGTATCTTAAATGAACAAAAAATATTTTACCCAGGTACTTTAAATAATCGGCATGTATTCAGATAATGTTAGACCACATAATCATTGTTAGAAGTAGAACTTCTTATGAGTATATTACCAATCAATTTACTCTACTACACTTGCACTTACTTGTAAAATAATTTTTTTTGATAGGAATTAAATCTCAGTAATTCCCATCCATACCTGTATCATTATAAAGTAGTAGAATCTATCTGACAGATTATCAGTTATTTAGCTGCTGTTGCTGGGATAAGGGGAGAGCACTGGTCTGATATTTTTGTCTTATCTGTGATTATCCCCCCTGCTGTGATCCATCAGATCAGAGGGTAAAGCTGGGGCTCCCATGGGGGCTTCAGGACATGAGTGAGTACTGAAGATCTGACCCATATGCTGGCCACAGTAGTAGGTCAAGTACTTATAATGTCTAAACTGTTGCCAAGTAGAGCTTTCAGTGAATCAGAGATAAATGACAGTTATGTTAACTTAACCCCACATATTCCTTTGAAGGTGTGTGCACTTCTTTATGTTTGATCATAATGCAGCTCAGAAGTTATTTAATTTATACATAGCAATATTTCTTTAAGGCCTATTTAAATATATTATAAGCTAATATATTACTATAGTTAGAGTCATTAAGATATAGTGAATTCTCTCACTGTTTGTGAAAGAGAGTCAAGATAAGAAATCTCTGTTATATTCTGTGAATTCTGCCACTGTCTGGAAAATTACCAAAATGTAGTTCTCCCCTCTGAAGCCTCACTCTCACTATTCCTCCCAAGTTACCGTAGCGATCTGATGTCAGAGAAGTCAGACATATTTGGGATACCTGGATTCTTATTTGTTTCTTTCCTGATTTTATTTTATTCACTAAAAATTCCCAGTGGATTTATTTAATTAGATACTGAAGGTGAGTGCTGACCTTGTGTTTGAGAATTCCAGAACCTTTGAGTTTTTTAGCCATTTGTTGTTTGATTCGTAAGGTGTGAACGTTCTTCAGGCCACTGGGAGAAACTCCGATTATTTCTGTCAGGGCATAGACCTACACTAATTTAGACCAGTGTATTTTCTCTTTTTATGTAATTTTACAAGAAATAGATATAGTGATTAGTGTTGCTTTTATTGAGATCTTCTGTAAAAGAGGAGAAATGATTAATAATTTTAACCTTTGATGTTCAGTGATGACATGATGAAAGTAAGTTAGTGACATGTTGATTTGAAAAAAAAAATATTGATATCCAAAATAATTTAAACTTTCAAAAGAATAAATATATTTAAATTGAAACACCATAATAATCATGAATTCAAATTGGTAATTGCTAATTAAATGATTAATGTTTTCATTTGAAAATGTGGTGTTTTGAATGAACATGATGAAGGCAGAAATCGTGACCCACCCATTGAGATTGTCTGTCTGTCTGTCAGACTGTGGTAAATTTTCCAGCTTCCTGTCTTGGGAATCATTACATAACCCCCTCCTGTTTCATGCTGTAACACTGTTATCTAAGACAGAGGGGTTTGTGTTTTTCCCTGCTGAATTGTCTGTCAGCTATATTTAGCTACCCCCAGCCTTTCTAAGGATGGGGAAACATTAAGTCATTTTATTGCAATTTCAAGAATTTCAGGAAACAGAAAAAAGGGGAGGAATACAATTTTGGATATTTTTGTAGTAGGTTTGGAGAACTGATTTTTACTGAGGTGTTGGTTTGTTTACCAGTGGGTAAATTCCTAGTGAAACACACAGCTGTAGTGATGGATAGCTGATGTTAGAATTGACTGGGATAAAAACCTGATGATTTATTAGAAATAGCTTAGGTATAGGGACCAGTTAAGTTTGTTAAATGAGCCAAACTGTTCTGTAAGGCAATCCATTTCACAGACAATGATTTCTGCAACACTTGTGCAGTTTTATCACTGTGAAGAAGTGTGTTAATGTAAAGGGAGTATAGATCTAGGGGAATTACAGCATATACAGTATGTAAGTGAATGTAGGTGTTCATTTGGAATGCTGAAGATTTGTACTTAATTATCCATGGTTTGAAGTGTTTACTTACAGTGCATTTAAGGATATATCAGTTCAGTGGCCACTGAATTATTCACTAGGGGGCACTGGTCAGAACCTAGTATCCTCCTAGACAGACAGTCCAAGATACGTCTGTGTTTGTTTATAGCAGGAAGTCTAGATAATACATGTGTAGAACAAATCTCCAATAAGTGAGATGTACTGTTAATCTGTTCCTCTCTGTAACGTTACACATGTTTTATATTAACATACCACAAGGCACGGCAATAGCTAATATAATATACTATGTGTAATAGGGTGGGGGTTGTTATAACAGACCTCTGGTAGTGGTAGAGTTCTTGTTTTTAAAATAAAGATGGATTATACAGCTAATTGTTGTTTGTGGGGGTGTGGTGCTTCTTGAAAAATAAACAGTTATAATAGATTTTGCTAAAATGTGAAGAATGGATAGCTTTGGATGTCCTTGACTTTTATAGTGAATAATGTAAAGTATTGTCTATTTGTATATATATATATATATATATATATATATATATATATATATATATATATATATATATATATATATAAGATTCTGTGGTCTCTATAAGGATGATTAAAGCTTCCTCAATCCAGGAAATATCTGGAACTATAGATCTGGCTTATATATATTTGTAGTTTTCCTTAAAAACATAGATTTAGTTGATTGAGTAGATGCATTCTCTGAAAAAAGAAAATTGTTCTGACGGATTTCCCTCGACAGATTTTGGCGTCAAGTAGCCTAATTCTTCTGATGAAGGGTATACATGTATATCATATTTAGGATGGTCATTTCTGTGAAGAAAAATATCAAAGGGAATTTCTTAATCATGGTTAAATAGATTTGCTCTGAGTTTAGAAACATGAAACAGGGCTCGACATTAACGCTTGTCCGCTTGTCCGGTACCAATGAAAAAAAATTTCGGACAAGTGAATATTGCTGGGCACTTGTCCGATTGGACAAGTGATTTTTCTATGTAAAGAAGTCTTCAAATAATAATAATCATAAAAAACAACTTTTGTAAAATTTATCGAATAAAAACGGAAGCAGTACATAAACCCGAATTTCGATCCCGATATGAATCGCTATGTAAGTTCACACTTGATCGGGATCGATGTTCATTAATTGCAGCCATACTATTGCATGGCGTGGATCTTATGACGTTTGTGAGTTTAAAATATATTTGATTGATTTTACAGATTCACTTGCGAACATTTATGCTTGTCAGGACAGGAAATCAAGATAAAATTTTGTTTTATATGTGTTTGTCTTATTTTTCAATAACAACATTTATAAATCAAGCACATTTAATTTTTTAATTTCTGTAATTGTTTTCAAGTTGATAGGATAAGATATTCATTGAAAAATTTTCAAACAAGTGAAGTTGAAGTTCGGACAAGTAAATATCTTGGGTCACTTGTCTGAATGGACAAGTAGGAAAAAAAGTTAATGTCGAGCCCTGATGAAATGCACATCAAGATACTGCATTGATGTTAAGCCTTGAACCATATTCTTTGAAGTCAAGAGGAGATGAAATTTGAACAAAGCACAGATTTTCTCTAGATCTCTGGCAAATTTTCTGTAGACCCCCAACTGATGAAATTATTTTATATTATTTTGTTTGAATACTAATTTTATTTGATGTGTAATTTTCTGGTCAAATTGTTCTGTGACAGTGAGAATTAACATACCTTAGGTTTCCTAAAGAAAGAGGAACATGAAGTCATTTCTGACTTTGTTGTAATTATATCAGGATTTGGGAGGGGGGATCGGTTGATTGTATATATTGTTTAATTGTCCCATTCGAGAATTTTTTACTCATATGGAGACGTCACTGTGTGCCAGTGAAGGGCTTCAAAGAACTATATGCAGTATATTACATAAATTTGCCCCCACAAATGTCAAATTTTGAAAACTTCCTGAAATGTGCTGAATTCAATAAATTGTATGAGAAATATATATTAACAGAACATAATATAGTTTCAAAGCAGTTTATTCACAATTTTTGTTTTTATGACGTCACAAACTAGTCTGATTTTATATCCTTTTTCAGAAAGAGGACAAAATGGACGAAATTTCAACAATTTTAGCTTTAAAATTTATAGAGCGCAAGTTTGTTCAGGAACAATATTTACATATTTCATTGATATTATCAGTCTACACATTATATCAAAATATTGATCCTGAACACGCATGCGCTCGGTGACTTTTACTCAAAATATCGACGAAATATGTGCATTTTTCTGTAGAATTCATAAAAAACTGAAATTTACGTCATGTTTGTGACGTCATTACGTACATATGACGTCATTAATTATAAAACTATTCAGTGCTTTTAAGTCAGCATATACTCCCCTGTTTAAGAACTTAATTAAATATATCCCCATCAAAGTTTGATTTGGGGGGCAAATATTGGTTATTACCGAATAAAGTTCTTTAGACTTATACTCGGCACTCAGGGACATTGAGAAGTGAGGGTTCATCATGCCAGTGCCTACCGTGACACGGGACCTATGTATTAAGGTCATATTGGAAAGACCCGTGACTTAGAGTGCCGAGCGCTTGGCCAAGGAACAATCACTACCTACGTTGATGTCTTAGGTTTGATGTGTTTCTGTGAATGAGAATCAAACATGGTCCTGCCGATCAGAAAGCGAACGCTCTACCACTAGGCTACGGTGACCAGGTGGGGGAGGGACAACTCTTACATCGTATTGTAGTAAGTTTGGAGAATTTTAGTTCAGAACTGTTTACTCAAGATGTTGAAATTTGTTTACAGGAATTCCTATTGAACCATTGCTGAATCAAAGCTACATAGATTTAATTAGAATTTCAGATATTGGCTGTTCACTCTCTTGTAGCTATGATACTTATGGGAGTCTTCAACAAAAAAATCTGCAGTGAGGCAGCAAATCTGGCAGAAAGTAAATCATATTAAGAAATCTTGACTTTCCCCCCACACGAGTGTTTGGTGGCCCACAACCCTGAGTGATAAGATGGAGTAACAGTAAATAACTGCAGGTATCAATAAACTGTCAGCCAGGAATAAATACTCACAGCAGAATATATATACATCCAGCATGGCAGACAGGATTTACACAGTTTGTACAATTTATGGTTCTTCACTAGAACATTGTAACACCTGGGTCTGAACCTTCAGGAAGGGAACCTACGTAGAGGAAGATTCATTTGGTTCTGTTGTGCTGTAATTGCTTTTAGATGATTTACCCTTATTATGAAGTTACATGTACTACAGATCACTCTACACATGTAAATTTTTAATGTTTTATGGTACAATACTATTGGGGCTAGCTATATTTATCATTTAATTTATCACATCAAATTATGGTAGCTAAAAAATGACAAAAATTTGCTTGAACAAATTACAGATTTTATTTCAAATTTTGGATGTTGTATCCTAAATATTTTATCTATAAAACTTGCTTTGTGCCTCTCACTGGATTCTCTATTTTATTGTGCCAATATTTAAGTTCTGAATTGTATTAATTTACTTTTGTATACATAGATTTTTGAAAGATCTTAATCATAAATCATTTTATGTAAATCATAAAAATTGTTTAATAATTAAGAAACAATTTTTTTCTTTGCTTGGTTTTTAAGCATAATAATTCTCTGATTTGCTCAGATAAAGGGGATTAGGTTCCAAGTTCTTTCAGGAGTCTGGCAGTAAGACCTCATTCTCTACAGCTTTGATCATACTTGAGGATGTTGAATGTCAACATAGTGAACAGTGGTCCTTCTGATGAAATTTTGTAAACTGATTCCTGGGCCTTAAAACTGAAAAGAGCTCACGTTTGATATGTCTCACTCTTACCACTATTAATCCCTTTCAAAAAAGTGAGACTGAGATGAAAATTGAACTCTTCTCAGTTTTTTTGCCCTGGAGCCTGGGGGTCCATTGTCATTGGAGATGCTTAGCAGGAAAAACTCTCTCTCTCTCTCTCTCTCTCTCTCTCTCTCTCTCTCTCATGGCTACCAGTAATTGGCAATAAGTTGAGTACAGGTCTGAATTTACAGTCTTTTTCTCAGACAATCTACCCTATCATCTAGATAAATTCATTTCATTTAGTCCACCATTAGCTCTAGAATCATGCTCTTCACATCATTTTAGTATTCACACGACAAATGTTACTCATGATGAATTCAGCATGATTATGAGTACCCTTTTGCATTAATGTGAATATGAAATCTGCCTGTCAAGTGCTATAAGATTAACATGCAGCAGTCAACAATAAACTATTGATCTAGGTATTAATAAAAAAAGCATAAAAAAAAATAGGAATGTATATTGATATTGTAAATCGAGGTTGTCATAGAAACAGAAATACAATATACCTTACATTTTCATCTTGCACTGATTCTTTGGGATTATTTGTGTGGATTATTTGAGGAAGATTGTGGGATAATCTGTAAGCTGGTGTTGGTATACATTTTTCTATTTTAAGAGATCATTAACTTGTCCTGTAGTAATGACAGGTGATATAACTGGAGGGTTTTATCATTTTATTTATATATGGGTGTGGCAGGGTGTGTAGATCTTGCATGGGTCAGCTTCTGAATCAGCACTCTTCTCGTACCGTAAATCAATGTCATATACTAGATAAAATAGATTTTATTGAGTAATGTATATAATTTAATTAATTCCATCCTCCTAATATATACCTACACTAGTTGTAAGTAAAGAATGCAGCCCCACTTTTCTTGTGGCATATTTTAGGGATATTTACAAAGATGTTTAATCTTTATGCCACTCTACTGAAAGGAAATGTAAAATAGTTATAATGGTGTTTATCCTTCAGAAATGCACATGCAATAATCAGTTCAATTAACAGTGTATGAAGCTGGATCTATATTGAGGCTGACATTTCTGTATTACTTCCAGTAATGTTCCTTACCGTGTTGTCTTGGATCCAGGTTCTTAATGAAGCAGAAAAGTAATGGATAATAAATAGACAGGACTCGTAGTGATATATTTAGAGCACAAAAACCATGATTTATCTTACAAGGCTTAGATACACAATCTTTTAAGTAAGACAGCTGTTATAAGCATCTGGAGTTGTCTGCCCTTACATTACAAAGAAAGTCACTTTCCGTATGAACGGATGAAGTCTCAGTATATGATGGCTTTGACTTTACAGAGTGAATGACCTGGATTGTATTGGTAATCAAATGCTTCTAATAAAATATCATGGTGCATAATAGTATGATATGTCTGGATTCATGCACTCTGGAGAATTGTGGCTGAGTAATTACTGTAAGACTTTCATTAATTTATAAAAAATTCTGTTTTTCAGATACTGGTGACAATATGGACATTGATCTTGATGAAATTGGTAAGTACAAATGAAAATTTTCTCTGTTAATGATGTATTGAATAAAATATATAATAAATTGTAAGAATATCTATAACTTAAAAATTTAAGTATGAAGAAAAAAACAATACAGTCAAAGAATTAGGATTTTTATAAAATCTGTAGAGCCTAATTAGGGGTGGGACTGAATTTTTAAACATAATATTGTGTACTCATGGACATCAAGAAGTCAAACTGTTGGAAATTCATGCCACCTGGGTCAAGGGTTCTATAGAACTGGGTGATGGTCTATTTATTATATAGCAAAATTTTTTATCATTCCCTATAAATTAGCAGAAAAAAATTAACCAAATTGTTATGATGAGTTGGGATGCCTCTAAAAAATTTGAAATTCATTGCCCCTGAGTCAGGCATTATGATGTTAAAGCAGGTGGGGCTCTATTCCATATACATGTATTGTTAAAATGCATCAGTGCCTCTTCCAAAATTGTGAATGTCATGGCCCCCTGATTTATAGATTCTGGTGCTAGGGGTGTCAGGACAGGTTTATGATTATGTTTTGAACATTTACTACTTCTTTGCAAATTTTCTACTCTGAGTTGTGATAAGCAAGGATACTTCTTCCTATGTTGTAAAATTCATGGCCCAGGTTTTGAGGTTTCAGTGAAGGACATGGCCTTATTAAAGCATAAATTCCTTAAAAATAACCTCCTCTCCCTATGTTTATTTAGCAGACAAACCACATTGCATTGTAATATTGAGCAAGCTAGATGTCCCTTTCAAAAATTAATTAATTTGGAAATTAATGGATCCTTCATCATGGGATTGGGTGTAAGGCAAGGGCTCTATTGAAAACATAGTGCAAGTTCATTTTAAATTTTTTTTGAAAATCAAGGCCCTTAAATGGGTCTCTTGTAATTTTGTTTTTTTGTTCATTATATACACTCAAATGTCCTTATTTCAGACTACAGTCAAATTCCTGGCTATGTTCCCATTACAAATGCTGTTCCAAACTGGAAGAAAGATATGATTATAAAGAAAAATGAAGAGAAAGTTAGAGAATATGTGGTAATGTATAAGTGTGTTCATTGACTTATCAGAACTTGGCTATTTAGGCCTGTCATGAATTACAGCAAAACTTGTTTATAGTGAATTCACGGATATAGCGAAGTTATTTTGAATCCCCAGCTATATAAATTTAATGAATTCCTTATATGGTTATAACGAATTACGGATATAGCGAAGTAATTTCATAGGTCCCAGTGACTTCGTTATAACTGAGTTTTACGGTACATTGTTCAACTGTCTGTCCGTACATGTGTGTCCATCAACAGTTCTTACTGTAACATTTTCAAATGGATAGTTATGGCCTGTTGGTTCTTCTTTTCTGATACTTGTACATGATTTTGTGAAAATACATGTTACAGTTACTCTTATCACTTTACAATTTAATTACAGTATTTATTATAGATATTGCCTGGTTCAGGTATGGTTAATGATCCCAATCTTTTGTCAGAGATGGCTTGTCAAGTATGATTGTACTGAGAGTCTATTGAAGGTCACATAAGACTTTCTTTCTTTAATAAGTTTTCAATCTATAGCAACAGGTGGACAATCATTGGGAGACTTTTTTGATGTGTCTTCATGATAGCATTGTTTGGCATCTGAGGACTAGATAGGCAATTCTTCCTACAGTGACTGTAAATGAAGAGAATATGATTTTAGTCCCCTTTACTCTGTAGTAGATCATTCAGAATTATCTCCCTTTTTTGTGTTACAGGAAGAGCTGAGGCGGAAAAAAGCCGAAGCAATGAAGTGGAAAGATGTTCCGGAGTGGAAGAGGAAAATGTTGGAGAAGAAGGAGAAAGAAAAGCGAGAACAGGAAGAAGCCATGACACAAGCAGTAAGAGTTGTCCTCCCTGATACAGCATTATCTCCCCTCCCACTAATTTCCCAAAGTTTTTTGCAATTGTCAGTGTGGGATGCTGAATATGTTATGATGCATGGTCTAATAATAATGAATTGATTCAGGTGTTCCAAATTTATTTTAAATTATTCAAAGTTTTTTTTTTTTAAAATAAAATGGATACAATTTGTCAAACATGCCAGCAACTTTATTTGATCTTAATTTTAGGTATGATATTAATAAAACTAGATTATTCCAATTTTGCTAATGTGCAGCATTGATTTCCAAGGCCAGAATTACAAACTTTAATAATGAAGTGTAATGCCAGCAACTTTATTTGATCTTAATTTTAGGTATGATATTAATAAAACTAGATTATTCCAATTTTGCTAATGTGCAGCATTGATTTCACTGGGCCAGAAAAGCTGAAACTTATATGGAAGCATCCTGGTATAGTGTAGATTCTAAATTGTTCAAATAATGACCCCCGGGGGGTGGGTGGGGCCACAATGGGGAATCAAAGTTTTATAAAGAAATATATAGGAAAAATCTTTGAAAATTTTCTTCTTTAGAACCACAGAATTATATGGACATGGAAGTGTAGTGAAAATTGTTAAATGTGTTTGAAAATCTTCTTCTCAAGAACCAGACAAGTGTAGATTCTAAATTGTTCAAATCATGACCCCCGGGGGATAGAAATATATAGGAAAGAACCACTAATAATGAAGTGTAATGTGTCACCACTCAGAAACTTATGTTTTGTTTGAGTAAATTGTTCAATTCATGTCAGTAAGGTTTAGGTTATTCAAACAAGGTGTTAATTGTGGCCTCTTGATTTTTTATAATAATTTTTTTTTTAGAAAGTGTAATATATTAAATATCAGAGGATCATATTAAAACCTTTCAATCCTTAATCATAAAATTGGGGTGTGGGGCCTTGGGGTTATTTTTAGATATAAATCAAATAAAATGTTTCTAGAGCTGGCAGTTGTACTTTTTACCAGTAATTCTATGCTACACCTGTGAAGTTCCTGATAAAGTTAGGTTAAATGATGACTGTGTGTGACCCAGAACTAATGAGTGAGATTGACGCAAATAAAATGGCACGGCTTCATCCAGGAAAGAGATTTTTGACTGGATTGTTTGATGGTTTGAAATTTAAATAAGTAAAATTTAATTTAAAGAAGAGCAGGAAACAAAATTTGTCAGAGGGAAGGGAAATATGATTGACATTACTTACTTAGGGAAAAAGATACTGTAGAAGTACTTTTTTTCATGCAGTATTTACTCGGGTACTTTACGTTTGTACATGTTGTAGGCATTCACAAATTCTCCACCAAAATTTATCAATCTTGCTTAATCATGTTAATATACATGTACATGTAACTAAGGCATATAGTGAGAGTCTAAGAAATCCATATATATGAGAGTCTAAGAATTTTCTGCCTGCGGATTAAAATAGAAATAGAGATTCTGCTGAAGTATGACCTCATGGAACAATGTACTTTTACAATATTTTGTAATTAAAAGAGAATTAATATGCATTGTTTTGTTTTTAATGTAGAAAACTGTACTTATAGATGTTTGAATGAGTTGACTTTGAGATGAATTACTAAATGCATGTATTAACTAACTAGCTGAATGTTGTTTATTAAGTAGCTGTAGACTGCATTGTGACACGTTTTACTTGCAGGCTCAGCAGAAAGAGAAGGCCAAGGCCGCCAAAGTAAGCTTTATTCTTCTGTTACATGTATATCTACATTTAATGCACTGAATCACAGTAGGGGAACCAAGGAGGGGAACTAGAGAACAATGTCTGACCAAGCCATCGATAAGAAATTGTGGTGTTTTTAGGTCTTAATTGTTCTGCATAATAAAAAATTGTGAGTCATTACCAGATTATACTTCACTGTTTACAAAACATTTTTTTTTCTGAAAATGACTGCTTGAATTTTTCAACAAATTGCCAACAAATTACATGTATTTGATATTGTGCATAAATATCCTTAATTAAAATACAATTTGAAGGGCAACATGACATTTGTTGTAGATATTTTAAGTGTATTAATGATTTTCAATTGAGTAAAAATCTCATCTTATTGATGATTGTTTGAGCAGACATATGTTTTATAACCCTAGCTTTGTTTCCCTACAATTAATACTACATATAAACCAATTATATTACAGAAATACACCAATAATGCTTATTTAAAGAAAAGAAGAAAATTCAGCTATTATTTTTAAATATCATATTTGCAAAATATGCTCTTGTATGATAAATTTTGTTTTAAGGACCTTAAAACATTATGTAAAGAAAAGCTGATTTCTGTTTTGATTTTAAAATAAATTAATTACATTACTTATCAATATATTCTAGTAAGAATTTTTTAAGGAACTTTCCTTTGTAAGTTTTGGTTTACTGTTTTTGATGCTTTTGAAAAGCAGTGATGGACAATTTTTTACTGTTCAGAAGTTTTTTGACTATACTTTTGTGACCCAATATTACTTTGATCTTTTGGGACATCTTTGGTCCATGATTACCCACACAGACTATCTATCTTGTTATGGACTTCCTTGAATTCTGTACTCTTTACCAATCCAAGACCAAGTGTATTGCTATTACACCCCTTCAATTGGTCCTTGCTTGTCTACTGTATGAGCTCTTCTTTTCTATCAAGAAAAACAGACCATTTTCTACTTCTTTTCTTTTATAAATCCCAGCAATGATTTCCTTACCATGCCTGCATGATGTTCTCTACTGGTTTCTTTCTTTGGTTTCAGATTTTGTTTATATGATATTTTCCAGCAGTTGTTCATTTTCATTCTAGGCCGCCAAGTCATTACAGGTTGTCTTTGAAGTGTAATCTTGATATGTTTATCAATTTGAAATAATCCAACCAGCAAAAAACTAGGATTAAAACACTTTTTCTCTTTGAAAAGGAATCTGAATTTATATTTTGTAATATATTTGTTTTAAATGTATTCATTTATAAATGACCTCATAAATGTTTGAGATAAATTATTTTTATATCATATGTAACTCAAGACTTATTTTCTGGGTGTGACTATGTAACAGCTCCGTGACATTTCTATGTTTCTACGTCTCTTACTGCATTCTTTTTTGTTAAGCAATGCCAGGAAATATCTGACGATTCAGTAATTCTCTGTGATGTTTTTACTTTCCTCTGGTTGTCGGTACAAATTCACTACATCCTACACAAGCTTTGCTCTGGATTCTATCTGGTGTTCTGTTCAGACAATGAACCATTAACACCAAGTCCTGTGTTACAGAGCTCTGTTACATCTTTATCTTTTGACAGATTCCTATCCCTCTATCTCTTCCCTCCCCCATTTTATTAATATTAGAAGTTTAACACCACAGAATGGCTTTTATCCAGGACATTGTTCCAAGAATCTTTAGTTAACAATGGACTCTTTTTACGCAGCTATCTCAACTTTCATTCTTGGTTATGATTAAGTATTTCTCACATTTTGATGGATGTGGTGGCTCTTTCAAGACAGCTCAGTTCACTTTTCATGTCAATCTTGGCTTGGTATTTTACATCCTTATATTTATCTCAGTGATCTATATCAGTCTTGGTTAAGCATTTTACACAGTTAAGTATTCTTTTTTGGGTTGAGTATTTTACTGTCTAATGATTGTAGCCAGCTCTGACCTGGGTTGAGGTATTTTGTGTTGTCTCCTCCAGTTTACCTGTATATGTTAGCTCACCTTTGTTGGGAGCTAGCTCGAACCCTCTGATTGTAGTGTCTTGTTGATGTGGGTTTTTTGCATCTGCCTCTTTCTTTTTCAGCTTTATAGTGTATTTATGACACAGTCATGAACAACCTTATGATGATAATTGTTGGTCACTATAGTCACCCATGTGACCCTACAATGTCTGTTTTTGTCTGTCCCTTGTCACATCTTCAACTTCTTAACTAGAACTACTTGGCAAATTTCAAACAAATTATTCCAAAACATTTGAAAGCTTCTGATCACACATTTTGTGCCGTCCTTCCATCTGTCTGTCTGGCTGTCAATACGTAAACTTTTCATATTTTCAACATCTTCTCCAGAGTCACTGGGCCAATTTTAACCAAAGTTGGTACAAAGCATCCTTGGGAGAAGGAAGGTTTGAATTTTAAAATGAAGGGTCATTCCCCTATCAAGGGGAGATAATCAAAAATAGACAAATATAGGGTGGGGTTATTAAAATATCTTCTCAGGAACCACTGGCCCAGAAAAGCTGAAACTTAATATGTGGAAGCTTATTGAGGTAGTTTAGATTCAAATAATGGCCCCTTGGATAGTTTGGAGATGGAATAGGGAATCAAAGTATTAAAGGTGAAATCTGATTTTTAAGAAAGCAGGACCAAAGTGTCTCAGGTGAGCATTGTGGTCTATTGGCCTCTTGTATAGTGATGATTTTAGTCAATGGTGAACCCATGACCTCTTTGGATAATATGGCCTCTGGAGCAGGGTTAAGCCATGTAAGAAATGAAATGAAAATTTCAAGTTTGTTTACACCTTAGCTCCTAGTAAAGTTGACACCAAGCCTAAATATACTGTTATTCAATGTTGTTATTAGAAATTGGACTTAAATTTGGTAATAACACTAAGGGATTCGGTGTTATTACATTCAATTATTGGGAGATGCTGAATCAAGTATGAATTTTGGCCCATGGGCCTGTAAATGTTTCCCAGTACAACCTTTCTGTATAACAAGTCACCATATTGTAAATCACTTTTGTATCCAAATACCTTGTTACCAATTGTTATGTTTGTATGTCAACAATATTACGATATAATTTTCACTGTAATACATGTAGTGTAACTCACACTCTGATAATATTAAATGTCACCATTGTAATGTAGTCTATGTTTTGTAACTATTTCTCTGTTGTAGGTAAAACCTGTGTTACAGAAACGCCAATCCTTCGATGACACCCAAACCAGCAATAATAATAATGCCTCCCCTGTTACTAAGAAACCTGTTTCTCCTGTTACTAAGCAACCCACAACCCCACCTATTGCTAAGCAACCAGATAAATCACCTGTAACCAAGAAACCAGAGACACCACCTGTTACTAATACTCCAAAGAATTCAGCTAAAGTCACAAATGATGTAAGCTCTGGGCCATAAGTGGGGGATATGGTATTAAACATGCTTAAATTTGAAAACAACATAATGTAATTTATGTGCAATATCTTACTTTATAGCACTCTCTTTTATTTGTACACAAAACTCAAAATAATTTTGTTTAGGAGACACTTTTTTTAACTTTTTTTGAAACAAATATGGAGGAAAACATATGGTCTTGTTCAGCAAAGTTTGATGAAGTTGGTTTTTGTTAGGTCAAATATAAGAAAAAGTAAAATGCAGGTAAGAGAGACAGTTTGGTCTGGAATAACAAATATGGCAGCAATAACAAAATAACAGAGCAGTGTGAAGCCTTTCCCATATAAACTGCTGGAGAGCATGCCTGAACATATCTGCTCATTCTGACTGATTTTCTTCTGTGTGAAGAGTTTTAATGACGGAAAAGTGTTCTTTGAATATGTATTTATTTGATTTCATGTAAGTTTTAAACAAGAATAGTTTTGAAAAATGGAACTGAATAATGTTTTGCATATTAGATGGGGCAGATGCTTTTGTCAGTGATGGAAAAGCATTTCAGCTCAACAAACCTTAAAAATCAAATATTTAATATTTGTAAATAGACAATAGTAAAATGTAACTGAAAGTTGTTGACTTTGAAGTCAGAGAGAACCATTTTGAATCATGTGATCACTGTTTAGGATGAGTCACATGATGAATGTGTCAAAGATGGATCACATGATGAATGTGTCAAGGATGGGTCACATGATGAATGTGTCAAGGATGGGTCACATGATGAATGTGTCAAAGATGGGTCACATGATGAATGTGTCAAGGATGGGTCACATGATGAATGTGTCAAGGATGGGTCACATGAAAAACAGGCTTTGGAAGGATTTATTGAGCAATGTTCTAAGGAAGGGTCACATGACCGTTGTGATAAGGAAGGGTCACATGACCAACATGATGAGGATAAATCACATGATCAGTGCAGGGAATATGAATCATATTACCAATATACTGAGGAAGAGTCACATGACCAATGTACAGAAAACATTTTGTGTGACAAATGTGTTGATGAATACTGTGATGAGTCGCATGATCAATGTGATAAAGATAGGTCATGTGACCAGATTGTTGATAATGTAAGAATTTTTCGTTCATCTTGATGCTTATGCCCATCTATTTGCGAGAGACATGAATTGGCTGATGAGTATTGTTCCTGCCTAGTAATGTATATTCATTGACCCGAATATAGATCATACAGAATGCATTATGAGTCAGTGTTTATATGTGCGAGATGACAACCTGAATACTGCAGCTGTCATTTAATGCATCACACGCACTTCCTTTAAACTTCTTTGTCTATACATGTACAACCACCCTTGTCAAACCCTGTTTTCTTCTCATTATTCACATTAAAACATATCACCAATGTATTATCATTTACCAGGGTTTATAGTGACCAGATGCAACAACTTGGACACAACATGTGGTATTGAATTATGATATTCTCTCTCTATTTCAGCTAATATTATCCCAGTATTGAATAAAGTCTTTGTACATGTATTTTTCAAACAGCATGGATTTTATGAATGCATGGAACGAAGCATGAATAACTAAAAATTCTTATCCCAATGTTAATTCCTACCAATAAGATTGTGTATGAGTCATGATTTTACTAATTTTCAAGTTTAATAAAAAATGGAACTATTGATAAGTATAGTTCCAGATTCTCCTTTGTCTGTATTCCTAAATATCTGATTTTGAACTGTTGTTTATTTAATATACATAAATATATTTATGAAGATAAATATTTATAAATTTTATTTATTGAATATTTGCTGCATTTGAAGGTTTTCAAGAATAATGGAATTTGCAGGTATCTCTAGTAAGGAAGTTGTCTCCCTTTTATGAATTTGAATTTCCCTGCTTTCAGGAACGTGAGCAGGAGGAGAGAAAGAGAGAACAAAAAAGACAGCAGATTGAAAGACAGGCACAAATGGAAAAAGAATTGGAAGGCATTCCAGCATGGAAGCGTGAAATCATGATGAAAAAAGGGGCAGCACCAACAAACTGGGGGGATGAAAGGGAGGAGATAAATCGAGATGACGACGAAGAAAATGAGGAAAATCATGAATGAACCAATTCCAACAAATTAGGTCATTTTATTTTTATATATATATAAGTCATAATGATTCCTACACAATGACTCTGTTGTCTTTAAGAAGACAACTGTATATGATGTAAACAGGATATGTTTATGGTCTGCCAATTCCTTGTCATTTGTTGACCTGTCTACAGATGTATGGAATGGGAAGGGGTAGGGATGGGGGGTGCTGGAGATTACGTATCTTAGAAATGGATACTTTCATGATATTTTGCATAAAATGCTGTTTAAAAAAATATTTGTAATGATAATTAAATTTGTCAAGATAAATCTTAATATATTATGCCTTAATTTTTAGTATTAAATTATTAATGTTTGATTTTATCTGTATACTTGATAATGACACAAGTATGGTATTACTGATAAACAAATCATAATCTATATGCATAGAACGAATCTGCTCAAAAATTTATATTTCTCAATTTTTTAAAAGAAAATAATTGTATTTTAAATATGGTAATTAGTCGCATCAAGTTTCATTAATGCAACCTTTACAAGTAATATACTCTCAGATACTAGTACCTTTTATTATATTTTTTTTGTGTTTTGCTTTAAAGTTTGATGCTATAAAGTGCCTTTCCCCCGGCTGCCATCGATATTATTTAGTGTTCACAAGGCTTTCTATCATTTATTTTAAAGAAATGTACAGTAGTCTATGTTCTGCTAGGGTACATATTTCTTATGACGTACCTACAGATTTTGAATTGTATTTGACATGTACATGTACGAATGAAAGTCATGTAGGATTTGTAAGTAAAGGATGATCATGTAAGAAATTTTCATTTCATGGAAATCTAGATGGTAACCCTATTTAAATCATATTCTCTCTTTTTATAATAAGAGAGATATACTTCTATATATCTAAGAGTTCCATTGTTAGTGAATAAAAAGAAAATTTCAACTGAAGGGACAATTTTTTTTTTAAAAAGGGCACCATTTTCAACTCATAAGGCAAAACATTTTCAAATTGGATGTACCTTTTTCATCTTTAATGATCCTTGCATAAATATTTGAATGTATTGTAATTGATGTTTTAGTTTCTGTACTGTATAGTCTGTGTGCTGATAAGTTGTATATCTTTTTTATTTGTTAAAAAAATTCAAAATTTGCAGTATTACAAGAAATTATCAACACACAAGAGGAGGTAACTGTGAAATTCATTTGATTTTAACTTTAAAACCTGATTTAAAGAAGATGCATTATATATTGTATTTGTCAGTTTTGTGTGAAAGGACAGGAGAATATTATACTGGTTTTCTCTGAATATTTGAAAGTAGAATAATATGAAAGCAGGTACAAATGTACATATAAATTATTTCATTGACTCTTTTTTACCTTGTCACTCATTACAATGCTTCAACAGATGATTGCCAAATAACAATTGTGACTGATTTTATTTTGTTGGTATACTAATTTTTGCTTTAGAAGATGCTTTAGCATGTAAGGAGTTTATAAATACTGTGAAATGCAGTTTTATATGTATTTTAAATTTAAATGGTGCTTTATATTGATATATTTTACATTTTGTTTTTCATATTATCATAGCATAGAAAACCTTTATTAGAATAGCTTTATAGAGTCCAGAAATACAGAAATTTTTTACGTTTGATGGAATATCTAGTTCTTCTATTTACTTCAACTGTCAGTATATATATATACATGTATCTTTCTTTTCTTTAACTAGAAAGAAATTTAAAATTTGGTTTGACAGTCCAGTTTTTGAATAACACATATACATTGTATATACATTAATTTTCTTATGGAACAGTTTATGCAGAGCATTATTATAATATTATAATAATGGATGTTCATTCTATGTAATGGAACTCATTGGTCAAATAAAGGTCTTCTTACCCTCTGTTTTTCTATTAGTTTTACTATATTGATTTGGATTAACTTGACAACCGATTAGTTCAAAGTTGTTCTGAATATATCATGAATGGACCATCAACTAGACAGTGCACAATTAATTCAATTCCTTAAAATACATAGAAGGGGGGCATTCTAAACAACAAAACCCAGTATTAAAAACAAACCACTTAATTTGGACAAAAGTGAGACCATGATTGGAAAGGGGAGGGGGTAAATTTTGACAGGACTTCAATCATTACATTTTAGGCCGCAAATAACCTTGGGTTTTCTTGTAACCTCTAATCTTAGAATCCTTTAAACTTGAACAGAATATCTATTTGATTGCTAAACATTTCTTTTTAAATAGTTGAATCCACACTTTTCAAAAGTTATGTCCCTTGGCCACCATCTTGGGGGATAAACCCATAGAATCCTCACAGTACCCTTTGTAGTTTTCAGGTTTGTAACTTTGTCATTTACTGGGGAAAACTGGTGCATAGTGTACATACTGATTGCCCCATGTTGGGGCTACCCACACATCCAAAGAAAACGATTCAAACACAGTGGATTCATCATAGCCCACCCAAATGTTTGGTATCATAAAGAGGAGAATTGTTTCTTTCCCTTTGACCTTTTGGTTGACCCCTCAAAGGGAAACAACTTTCGTAAAGTGTGGATTGATCTCTATGGCAATGGCCTCAAAGTCTTTCATTACATTTCTGATGATTGAATGATTGAAATAAAAATGTAATGATTGAGGTCCTGTCAAGATTGACCCCCTTACCAGTCATGGTCTCACTTTTATCCCAAGTGGTTACAGGTGGCCACAACGCTCACCTAGTTCATTACTTCAAAATATGCTTAAGCAAGCTCTAAACACTGCACGCTAAAGCCTCTATTTGTAGGGTAGTTTTATGCATTAGAGTGATCTGCCCTCAGAAGTAGGATAGAAAAATGGTTATTTACAAATATTAAAAATTACAAAATTTAATTTGATTGCCGATGTCCCCCCCCCCTCCCCGGAGGAGAAGAAGATTTTTCTTTATACTGCCTTGTTACACCTAGATTGGCCATTCGGCTCACCTCGGCAGATTCCGGTCCCCTAAATCTAATCGCCCGAGGTGATCCTAGTGCGTGACTGGCCAATGTGACTTCAATACACTGGGTGAAAAAAAAAACATTCACTAATCTATATACTACCTTAGAATGTTGCCATCTTTAAAAAAGTCTTTTAAAAAAGCAAATGATTATTAGTCCTTAATAATACTTTGCTTTTTTAAAGATTTTTTTTCTCATATAGACCTTTGAAAGCCTTGATTGTCATTGTGGCTTCACCCCCCCCCCCTTCCACCCCTCCTGTGGATCAAAATTTGATATGACTTCAGTCTTGTATCTTCACTACCTAAGGACGTTGCCATAAAGATGTTATTTACCATGCTTTGTTGTTCTTGAGAAGATTTTTCCCGTAATATTAAATGTACATGTATTCCTACGTTAATCTTTGATTGCCTATTGTGGCCTTTGCGCTCTCCTTGAGAGGGAGCATAATTCGAACAAACCTAAATCTGCAATTCCTTAAGGTTCTTCCACATAAATATGACTAATCAGGGCTTTGGTTTTCTTGGGAAGGATATTTCTAAGATTTTCTATATAATCCCGTATATGCAAAACTTTGAACACTCGCTGAAGTCGGCCGATCGACTCATACCCTAAGGGTCATGATTTGAAAATATGTGATGTAGTGAAGCTTAATTTCGATTTACTTTTATCTTTTTGTTTTGCCTGGTGATATCTGAGAAAAAGATTTTGAACAAGAGGCCTATGGGCCCTATAGGTCACCTGAGCATCATGCAACAACTTTCCAACAGGTGCCTGACAAATAGGTGGTGAACACACAACCCCCCTCAGATCTTGAAATTGAATTAACTACATGTATTATGGATTCTATCATCGAATTTCAACAAACATATTGTAGAATTTAAATTTTAAAGATTGACACTTTTTTGTTTGAAAGCTTGTTTGTTGGTTTACGTCCCTTCGAAAAATCTTCACTCATATTGAGACTATTTGCAGGTGAAAGGCAAAGCCCTCTACCAGGGGGAGATAATCAAGAAAATGTAAAAATAAGGGGGTGTCCTTAAAAAATCTTTTTACGAACCTTTGGTCCAGAGGATGAAACTTATGCGGAAGCTTCCTGTGATAGTATAAGTTCTTCATTGTTCAAATCAGCCCCCCCCCCCACTCTGATCTAGGGTGGGGCAACATTAGGGAGTCAAAGTTTTACAATGAAATATATTCTGGGATAGTGAAGATTCTAAAATATTGAAAAAATGTCCCCCAGGGGTAGGGTTAGGCCACAATAAGGAAAGAACAACAGGGTCAAATTTACTTAGAGCGTTGAGGTTCATGGGCCTCGTGTTTTAAAAATATCTATCACCCTAGTGTGTTGGATACCTCGTACCAAAATTATTTGATATAAACAGCAAAGACAGACAAATGGACATTTCAGTCAGAAAAAGCTCACATAAATCTTCACTTCAAGTGAGCTAAATATCACCTTTTTTTTTTTAGCTGTGTTGAATCTTTAGTATGATCTCATCCAGTGATCGACAAACAATATTATACAGACGGACCCATGATAAATGCTGCAGATAATGCTTACATTTGTATAAAATTCGGACCCCCCCCCCCCCCCGGGCCGTGTCCTGGACTCTATAGGGGCTTCAATGCAGCCTCCAGACCCCCTGCCGCCTACCTCTACTACCCACCCACCCCCTCCACCTTAATGAAAGTCCTGGTGTGTTCGCCACCCTGGGGAATTATTTTGTGAATGGATTTTTAACATGATGTACCCTCGGTACATAAGATATTTAGCATGCATAATTAATTGATTATCAAATTTTATTCTAGAACTTGAATATTTGGTTGATTTGCATTTAGAAAAAACTTGAATTCAATGATTGCTTTTTATGAACTGAATTGTCTTAAATCTTTTTCTCTTCTAAATTAGGCAGCAATGAGTTTGAACGTTTTTGCATATGAATTTTTTTACGCTTTAAAAAAATGTGAGTTTTGAAGTCATTTCGCTAGGAGACACTACATGTATTATTCGCAAGAACGTCAATTTCGCGAAAGATTTTTAAAATGCTCACATGTAAAACTTTTATCCGCTTTTATTTTGAATTTGAATCTGAAATCTCCGCTAATTGAGCAAGTAAGGATGCTTGCAAATTAATATATTGAACTTTCTGACAGATTTTATTTTAACAAATGAACTTGCAAAATATGACTTATTCAATTTTTTAAAAATCCAAATTTTGTAGAGGACAGGCTGTTATTAAGAAAAAACATTTAAAGATGTGTCCCTATATATTTCCATGTACTTGGTCCCACAATCTGACCAAGGTGCCTGACAAATAGATGATGACACCCCCTCCAATATGGAAATTTATATTGAATTAATGATTATGAATTCTATCATCGAATTTTGGCAAATATATTGTGAAATTTAAATTTTAAATTGACACTTTTATTGAAATGGTTTGATACACTTTAATAACCTTGTCTATAAGTACATGTATATATATATTTTTAAAGAAATAAGTACTCGTACATGGTACCTTATGGCACGCCAAATTCACAAAAATGAGATAATCATAGTTTCACAATCGATAAACCAGGTTTATCGGTTGTAAACTATAGTTTACAAACCGTAAACTATAGTTAACAACGTTAATCTATATTTCACATCTGTAAACCATAGTTAACGCGATAATCTCAGGCACGTAGTGCCAGGGGGGGCTGGCCCCCCACTTTTTCTCCCGACATTACCTTTACTATAGAAAATGTTTACTGAAAGGAGCCCCCCCCCCCCCACATTTCAGCACAGCACAGTGTTATAAAGAAAATTTACCCCAAAAAGTGTGAATTGAAAGATAGTCGGTCTTGAAAAAAGTTGGCCACTACCCCCCCCCCCCCCCCCCCCCCCCCCCCCCCCCCCCCACGAAATAGGATTTTCGACTTTGGGCAACTTTTAATCTTTCGGGTTTTTTTTTGTTTTTTTTTTTTGCTTGTCAACTTTTTCAGGTAAGTAAAAAAAAAATTTTACACTTTCAAAAACCTAGCTTGTCTATAAGAAAACAATATTTGCATGTATATATATGTAAATTATAGTTTTTAACTATATAACGAATATAACAACTCTTAACTATAGTTTACGATTGTAAACTATAGTTTACAAACGTGAATCTATGTTTATCAACAAAATCTATTGTTAACGCTTATTAAACTATAGTTAACAACCGTTAAATATAGTTTTACAGATGAAAACTATACTTAACGAATCGTTAACTATACTTAACGAATCGTTAACTATAGTTTACGGTTTGTAAACTATAGTTTACAGTCGATAAACCTAGTTTATAAAATGTGAAACTAGGACTGTGAACTTGGTGTGTCTATTTTTCTCATTGGGAGATGCTACCGAAGATACCTTGCTATAACCTTGAAACATTTGATGCTATGGCTTAAATATTTCACATTAGTATTTATTATGACATGGTCTTCTACAGGGTATCTATACTTTAACCTTGGCCTTGGGGATTGATCCTTGGTCTCAACTTTTGAATGGTTTATTCTGGGGGTTTTATATTTCACAGGTAGTCCTTTCTTTCAAGTACTACATCTCTCATTTCTTGCCATTGAAGTTTGACTAGAATTTGAAAAACTTAAACCTTCGCCAAAAGCTGTCATTCGAGGATATCAGTGGGTTTCACAAACATATCTTGTCTTCTGGCTTGCTCCTCTCGTAGAAGCACCACCAACAGATAATTTAAGCAGAAACTAGAGGTACTGTGAGCAATGAGCCCACTTAATGATACCCCCGCCTCCCATATGAATATAATGGCAGTGTCCATGTTTTGCTATGGGAAACCCAAAATATTTGTCGGATCAAAAAGTAAAATAGAAAGTGCACAATGACAATATGTAAAAAAAGATTCTGTGAAAGTCTCATCCAATTTCATTCAGTGGTATGAGAGGAGTTCCAGATAAGAAATGGGTACCCCAAAGCGTAACAGACGGACGGACGGACATCCCGATTACAATATTCCTTCCTCTTTTCAAGCGGGGGATAATAAATCACTTGACACTTTCAATGCCTGTGATTTATGTGATTGGTTGATAGATAGGGAAAACGATCCAGAATTGTATTTTCCAAAGAAGTCTATAAATGCACCGCAGCTCCAGTAGAAGCGAGTTGACCCCGGTCATCCTTTATGTTGATTTTTAATCAACTGTGTGTGTAGATACAAAATTGTTTTGGCAAAAAATTCCAGACCTTTGAAAGAAGAGTCCAGTCTTTTTTATTGTACTCTCCGCTTGAAAAGCGGAAGGGTATATAGTAATCGGTATTTCCGTCCGTCTGTCCGTTACGCTTTGGGGTACCCATCTCTTATCCGCAATTCCTCTCATACCACTGAATGAAATTTGATGAAACTTTCACAGAATCTTTATTACATTTTGCCATTGTCCTATTTTACTTTTTGATCTGACTCATATTTTGGGTTTCCCCCAACAAAACATGGACACTTGACTTCTATATTCAATTCATATTAATATGGGAGGAGGGGGTATCATTTTGTGAGCTCATTGCTCGCAGTACATCTAGTTTTAATTCAGCTTTTATATAATGTATATAATCAGAGACATAAATACGTAATCCCTGATATAATTAATTATCACAGAAAAATGCAAAGCTCGTCGAATTTTTCCTTTCTTTCTTTCTTTCTTTCTTCAGTGATGTGTAACAGAAACTGTAAGAGTTAATGATCTTTTCATTGTATCAAATATTCATATGATTAATTATATTATCCTTTATAACTGTTAAATGCTATTGAAAAACATTATACATGTTCAGATATAGTTTTGTCCAGCATGAAGTTTTATAAATGCAGCTAGCCAATATTACATCACAAAGATGCAGCTTTAATTGATTTGTAACGCGATTCAGTTTCCGTACGTCACAAAATTACCCTTCTCCTATTCCATAGTCTAACATGTGCTCCGAAATGAGTACGCAAGAAAAATAGTGCATCATATATAACAGTAAAGTGATGGCAATTAAAAAGTTGTGTTTAAGACACAATTCGTATTTTTCAAATTGATTTTTAATACTTCTTTAAATTTTTAGGTTTTACTTTAAAGAGGAAGTAATTTATCATCGTATCCTAACTTCCTGTCGGCGCATTAATATAAGAGCCCTCTCGCACTGTATCTCGTTTTCCTGGTTGACGGTTGTTGCGAACGGTTGAAAACTTTTTCATCAAAATGAGTTGGGATGGATGGCTGCCCGTCGTGCAAAGTGATGGAACAAATACCTGTGCTCACGAATGTGGAATTTATGATACTCAAGGCAACGTTTGGGCAAAAACAGCCAACTGTAATGTAAGTCAACGTGGTGAAGAACGCCCCCCAAATGGTCAGCCGCCGGCAAATTTTTAGCGGGTTGATGACCCACCTTTTAAATGTCCTGCGATTTAATCAAAATGAATTATTTGTTTTAAATTGATATGAACTTATGCGCTTTTTAGTAAATGCAGAGGAAGAATTTAAATGTTAAACAGTACTTCAAAAAGTATTACGATATTTAAGTGGCGGATTCGTAGGAGTGGATGTAACAAATTAAAGTTATATTTTTTATCATAATTATTTCTTTTATCTTTTTAGTTAACAACGACCGACTTTACAGACCTGAATAAGTTATTTGCTTCAGGGATGGATTCTGGTGTCACAAGTGTAACTTTAAACGGCAAAAAATATATCATAATAAATGCAGATAAAGATGCAAAAACTATAGAAGGAAAATGTGGCCCGGGAGGCTTTTGTGCAGCAAGAGGTCAAACTTGTAAGTGGTTTTCCTTTTTCATGCAGCAAATACTTAGTTTATTAACCCTATTTTCCGTGTAAAGCATCCATTGTTTAGCCCAACATGAGGAAGTAATTCAGTAATGTTTCAAAGTTATTTTAATATATAAAACTTGCAAGAAACAGACCCTTTGGCAGGTTGTGTGGAAGTATGTTACATTGTGAAAAGGAAGGGAAGCTGACACAAGAAAATAAGTCAAAAGAAAATTGTAGAGACAATTGTTCAATATAACCAGACATGAAACATAAAGCCAGTTTAATAAAGGAATTAACGTTCAAAATCATGCAAGCATCAGAGAACTGAATGCTTTAAGCACTTGTGGAAAAATAATGTTCTTTAGTGGAACAAAGTCAGCAATATTCCCAGCTTTACGTATGGATGAGAGCCAAATATACATATTTTGAAGTGTGAAAAATTTTATTTTTACTATTGATATTCATTTGTAGTAAAAAAAAAATGATTTTGATAAAAAAAAAATGATTTGATAAGAGGTCTTAATTTTCAGATTTAGGGAGAGGAAATTATTTATGCACTGAATATTATATAATGAGTGTTTCAGTGCACACTCATTTATGAGTATCAGATATTTGTTGTAAAGTTCAGAGGGAAAAGGGGGCGGCGGGGGGGGGTATCAAACAAAATTAAGTATTTAGCCATTATTTCTTGGTGTATGTGATTTTACAATATTCTTTTCTTGTTGTTTCAGTCACTGTCGTAGGCTTTTACAATGATGCATCTGTACAACCAGGAAACAACAAGAAGCAAGTAGAACACGCAAAAGGCAAGCTTGCTGAAGCCCTCGGCCAAAACTAGAGAGACATTTCTTACACCAATACTGTTCATGCTGGTTTCTGTTCTGTACATTTCAGTGGACTTGTAGGATATCAACTGTTTAACAAGTAGTCTCCATCTTGCCAGAAAGAAATGTTTCAGGGATATTATAAGCTTCCAGAAATCCTTGACAGCGAAGGATAATTTTTTTTTGTTTTTTTTTTTAAGTTTTCAGTGCAATTGACATTCAGGGGGTTTTGTTGCCGTAATTTTGTTTTGAGTAGAAATTGAGTTTCATTTTCGTGAAATTAATTGTTGGTAAGTTATAGAAAAAGATATTAGATTTGATTTCAGGAAACCAAGTTTTGCTTTTGTTTTTTTTTTTAATTTACATGTTAGTTGTTTTGGAAATTTTGTTTTCAGCAGTGATTACAAGTTCACTGTACTGCCTAGTCATATACCACAAGTAATCATTTGTAAAGCAAGCATTTAATGTAATTTACATATATAGGTCATTTAACACCATTCCAGAGAGTCCCATTCCAGTTTGACATGGGTGCAACGGAATTGAGATCTTTTATTACTTACTATCAACATGTTTATGAGTACATGTATATTCTGAAATAAACCATTGATTTGCACAATGACCATAAAGAGATTGTTCGATTTCAGTAGAATAGACATTCAACTTCTTTTGTTATTCTTTTGAACAATAAATTATCCTATCTTTGTAATAAACTTTTTTTTCCATCTTGAGAAAATTAAACAGTTACACTGATCCTTGGTCAGTATTTCTTGTAAGGTGAAGGATTTGTTGTTGATGAAGGCTCTAACAAACCTGTAACATAATAGGAGAGTATATATTGTAACCACTCCGAAGGAATCTTGATTTCTAACTTCACAACATCATTGTCTGAGATGACAGTTATGGATGCTTCAGTCTTGTTTTTCCTGGTATTTAGAGAAAATTTCGTACTTGGCAGAGAATCATCAGATTTACTGATGTTGATCCCTGTGTCAGAGTAACGTGTACTTTGTACTGTTACACCAGCTGTCACCTCAAAATACACCAGTACAATTAGTACTTAAATACAATAGGGAAGCAACGAATGGTACGTGCGGCATTTCTACAAAGTGGATGTGATCATGTCAGTTATCATGAAATTCGCATACCTGGTTAATTAAATATTGGATCTTTACTGGTATTCTGATGAGATACTTTGACAATAATGGGAAATTTTAGAGATTTTCATGAAGCACTGCAGTGACAGAATATAATGCGTTGTTACTCTCCCTATTACCACTGTCACAGGATATATCCCTCAGAGGGCCGGAATAAAGTTGATGACAAGAGCTGCAAGTCATGGCAACATTTTCTAGTACTCAGATTTATGAAAACAGGCCCCAGATATAAAGTTTTCAATAAGTCAAGCTAATGTATTAGAGAGATGATATTAAATTTTTCAAAAAATTAACAAATATGGTATGCACAAACATTTATTGACTTTCAGAGGACGAACAATGCGTTATTCTGGGTTTTCAACTTGTCCATTCAATGTTTCACACTTGAATTTAAAATTCAATGAATGCATGATGAATGTACAAAATATGTTGAATATATGGATTCACTGATCAAACTACAAGAACCAGTCAAGATAGCTTGACCTAGAGGTCACAGGTGAAGGTCATCCAGATGAATGCTGTTCTTTATAATGGCGGTACTCTGGCTTTAACTCCCACATGTTTCGATGGGGTGCCTTCATGTTGTAGGTACAAATCTCCTTCAAAATTTCTTTCAAATAAGTCTGAAAAAAGATAAAGATTAAAAAGGCATTGCCAAATAATACATATGACATGAAACTCAAGAGTGGGCAGGAAGTCCACCAATTTGATGATGGCAAAAGTGCCTAGTCAGCTGTATTATGTAAAGGACTAAATCAGCTGTTTTGTATTGGGGAAGAATGTTGAATCAGTTTCCTGTTCATGTCTTTAGACAACCCAAAAATTATTTAATATAAAAGTTAAATTAGTCTTGAGGAGTACATACAACAGATGAGACAGATTGGGGGAGGGGGGAGGCTGCTAAAAGTATGAAATTTCCAGTTGGACTGAGGCTTCATCAGTTGATGACGTAATTCTCAAAGTATAAAAATAAGGTCATTACACTCGATGAGTTGATGTGACGAACAGGAAACTGAGGTCCTGAAATGTCTTGGTGTGTCAACAAAGGGTACATGGTAATTATCTAGATTAGCTTTCTCAGTTCAGTGTCATTTGTGGATTGGCATATCGTAAATCCTGGATGAATTAACATGTCTTGTCTGAAGCAGTACTCTCATGATAATAAAGTGTCCAAAGTCACAGCCTGTGATGACTGGACACATACCATTAAGTCATTTAAACACACCTCTAACAAATACAATTTCTAATACTGATTTGTTTAGTAAAATATCTGCTGCTTGTCCTCTGGTACTACTATTAACTTTATTTTTTTTAATAGTTTTTATGTGTTTGATTAAATATAAATGTATCTAGTAATTGGCTGAACATTGTTCAATACTAACAGGAAATGAGGCTAGCTTTTATTCATTTTACGAGAGTCCTGCACACACTACATAATTTGATGAATAAGGGAAGTAGAAAATTCTAGATACACCAATTCCTCGTCAACGGGAAGTTATAGAGAATAGATATTTATTAACGAGACTAAACTGGGGGTGGAACAGGAAAGAACAACCAGGAATCTTGCACAAGAAAGCTTTTTAAAAAAAAAAAAAAAAAAAAACTTTCTGGAAAAGGATATATATAATATGTTAATTTCAATAATGCTAGTGTCCGAGCCAGCTAGCTTCACATTTTAAAATCATTCTCATCTATACTCTTTTTTTTGTATGAACACAAAAAAGGCCCATAGCTCCCAAGTGAAAAAAAATCCTCAAACAAATCACTTTAAGAAATCACTAATGAATCAGTGATTTGAAGATGATTTGTAAGTGATGCAAATTCCCATGCAAATGAGCTAACAAATCACTCTTAATAAATTGTAAGCAAATCACCCTGAAATCACATCGAAATCACTTTGAATAAATTGTGTAGAAATCACTTCTGTTGAACAAATCGCAACCAAATCACTCTGAATAAATTGCAAACAAATCATTTCAAATAAATTGCAAACAAATCACTTCAGTTTAACAAATCACTTTCAAATCACACCAGGTGGATACACACATGTGTGCATGATGCTCATGTAACCATTTCTCAAATATTTGAAAAAAATGCATATTTGTTGTACATTAACAAAAAACTTTGGCAAGAATGTTTTTAAATATAAACTTTTACTAGGATGAGTCCTCATTAAGATGGCATCACGTACTTTAGCTATCCACACATGTACTTGGCTCCAAATTCAGAATATGATATAAGCATTAATTGTTGACTTTTAGAAGTTGGTAAATTTTTTCCTATGTGAAATACCAGTAAATATTTGTCTAGATACTTTAAAAAAACCATTGCTTTGCTGAAGCTTATAGCTTTACATAGATTTTGGTTTAAACATTAATTGCCACACACCAACTTTGTTGTTTGTAGAAGAACAATAAATTGCATGTAAACATATGGAATATTAACTGAATCTAAGGAGGAAATGATAGCATAATGCAGTTATACATACCTTAAAACTATATTCTACATGGTTATGGAAAAAACATCAGTTTCAACAAAAGAAGAGAGGTATGAATCTAGAGCAGCACAATCTAACACCTTTCATTTCAATTCAAATCTGATTAATGAAAATTGGCGGTAGAGTTTCTAATACTGACCAATCAGCAAGCCAGGCAGAAGTTATAAAGTAAATCATTCTCAAATCACTCTGATGAAGGACCATGAGTTCAACAAATCATTTCCAAATCTGACTAACAAATCATCTTCAAATCACTTCGAAGAAAGACTAAGTTCAAGAAATCATTTTCAAATCACCTTGAAGAACGGCTAAGTTCAACAAATCATGAAGAAATCACTGTAGCAATTTCGTAAGTTTAACAAATCACTCAGAAATTGTCTGAAATGGGAAAGAAATCACAAGCAAATCACCATTTCATAACAAATCATACACAAATCATAGTCATCATTTTGGTAGAAAATGATTTGTGCATGATTTGTTAGATGAATTGCTTACAAATCACTGAAACAAATCACTTTAATAAGTGATTTTAAAGCAATTTGTAGGCAATTTGTAAGTGATTTGTTTGAAAAAAATTTCACTTGGTCAGGCCATGATGGTAACCTGAATATGACAGGTTAACGTTTCTCACACTACAACCAACTCAGCCCACATTCTGAAACTCAGGACCTCTTATGTATGTCTTCAACAATTGCATAACTGACCTTTTTCTAAAACATAACATTCACTGTTTCTAATTCACATTTGAATTCACTGTTTCTTGGAATTTGGGACTTCCTTTAAATCTAGATTGGGAAAATGGTTAACAGTAGATGCATAACTGTTCAATATTAAGATGCAAAGAGTTTCCTTCTGAATGTTCAAGATTTTCAAGTATATGACTCAACTCTGGGACTGAATAGCCCCTCCCAAGGGCTTGAATTCAGGACACAAAAATCTTTTTTATTTGACAAAATGTCTCTCTGCTCTTGGTGAAGTTTTTTTTTCTAGAAACCATATTTTTAAAAAAATTCTATCTATAGTGAGCATTTAAAGTTGCTTTTCCTTGAAATACTCATAGTCAATACTTGCAGTAAATCATCAGTAAGCTCTTTAGAACTTAATATGGAAGTTCCTTGTGTCTAGGCATGTACTTGTTCAGATAAATCTTGTGTATTATAATAATACTGGTACATGAATCTATATATTTCATAAATACAGATCATGTTCAGTTATCTGAAATGTAAAATGTACTAATCAAGAAGGTGTGTTCCTTGCACATTACACTAGTAAGATGAGTGAAATGACTTTCAAAATAGTATAATAAAACAAAGATAAAATCAAAGACTTAGTAATTATATATAACTAACCTTGACAAACCTTATCTATATTGCAAGGTCCCAAACAAATGTTCTGGAAGTGTGCATATCTTGATGCAATATTTATGCAGTTTGGTCTGGATAGGATTCTTTGCTATTTATAGGAATGAACTTGCAATTGAGAAAATAGCTATTCAATCAAGTAGAAAATGAACTTTAGCAAATTCACCATCTAA